GACACAGGCGCGCGCGCGCACGTACGCAGACACACAGGCGCGCGCGCGCACACATATATACACACGCAGACATATACATGCACACCACATATGTGCGCACACATATATATATATACACACATGCGCGCGCACGTACACAGACACACAGGTGCACGCGCGCACATATATATACGCGCGCGCACACACATATACACGCGCACATATATATACACACGCAGCCATATACATGCACACCACATATATGTGCGCGCACATACACAGACACACAGGCGCGCGCACATATATATAGACTCACACGCACATATATATATACACACGCGCACATATATATATATACACACGCAGATGCACACGCAGACGCACAGACATATACATGCACACCACATTTATGTGCGCACACATATATATATACACACACACATGCGTGCGCACGCACGCGCACATACACAGACGCGCGCGCGCGCGCACACAGGCGCACACGCACACACACATATGTAGACACGCGCGCACGCATATATATATATACGCGCACGCACACACATATATAGACACGCACGCATATATATACACGCACGCAGGCATGCACACGCATATATATATATGTACACGCATATATATATACACACATATATATATACGTGCGCACACACATATATATATATATACACACACACACATATATATGCACATGCAGACGCACCCAGACGCAGACGCACAGACATATATACATACACACACACATGCACAGGCGGACCCACAATCACACGTGTGTATATGCGCACGCACGCGCGTACACCACATATATACACATAGACGCGCGCGCACATACACAGATGCACAGGCGTGCGCACACACAGACGCACACGCGCACGCACGTATATATACGCACGCACACACATACACACACACTGATGCAGACGCACAGACATATACATGCACACCACATATATGTGTGCGCGCACAGACATATACATGCACACCACATATATGCGCGTGCATGCACATACATGTATATACACACACATAGACACGCACGCACACACCTACATACACACACATATATATATATACACACACGCACACATATATGTATACACACACACCTGAATGTGTGCGCCCACACCTGAATGTGCGGGCGCGTGCGCGCCCACATACACATATGCACACGCACACATACATGTGTGTGAGTGTATATGTGTATATATATATATGCATGTGCGCGTATGTGTGTGGGAGTGCGCGTATGTGTGTCGGGGTGCGTATGTGTGTGAGCACGTGCGTATGTGGGGGTGCGCACACATCTATACACGCATACGCACGCACACGCGCGCGCACACATATGCACACATGCGCACGCGTGCGCACACATATACACGCGCACACATATACACGCGCACACAGACACGCACACACATACACGCGCACACCGACACATGCACACGCACATATATATACACATACACACACACATATATACACGTGCGTGCACCCACATGTACACATATATATAATATATACTCACACACATATATACACATACGCATGCACATACAAGCATACGCACATACATATACACGCACGCACGCATATATATATACACGCACACGCACATATATATGTAATATGTACACACCCGCACATATATAATATATACATGCACACGCGCATGCACACGCACGCGCACACCCATACGCATGCACATGCATACATATGAGTATATGCACACACACGTATATGTATATGCACACATATACACACACACATATATATAAAAGCACACGTATATACCCACACATATATAAATGCGCGCACATATGTATATACACGCACACACGTATATGTATACACACATATATATTCACACACCCACACACACATATATGTATACGCGCGCACGTGTATGTATGTATACGCACGCACACACATATATGTATGTATACGCACGCACACACCCCTCCGTCTTGGATTCTGCCACAATTGGCAACACCTTGATCCTGCCTAATCCATTCCAAGTTGTAAAGACCTCTATTAGACACTCAAGTAGTCGCGTTTCTGAAGGAAAAGAAGTCCCCCGCAGTCTTTCTTGATAGCTGTAATTTCTCTGATTTCTAAAAATTATATGAAAACTATCTCCCTTTTATATTATGGGGACCAATAGATTGATTATGTCCGTACTACATGTTTAGCCCAACTTTATTACATTTGAATTCTGGAACCTGTGTTGGTTCATCTAGTCTAAAGTGTTGTTTAACCGGGGACCAATTGTTCATCCTTGTTCTGAAGTTCTTCCATGGTTTTGCCTCTCTCCCGGTCTTTAATCTTCTCCAGTGCCGCAATCCCCTAACAGCATCCCAGATTTTAATGCTCAATATTGATGGTTATACTTTCATCTGTTTAGGTCACAAGATAAATGACCCCACCACTATCTCTCTTTCCTCCTTCAGAAAAGACTCCTTAAAATCGACATCCTTCATCAAACTATTGGCCAACTGTCCTCCTACCTCCTTTTATGGATGTGTATCAAACTTTCTTTAATTACACTTCTGTGAAGAGCATTGAAGTGTTCTTTTGCAATGCAGGCACTATATAAATGCAAGTTGCTGTTGCAGAATTGAAAGATATTCCAGTTTATGCCACTGTGCAAACAACTGAATGCATTTTAGGCATAGTCTTGCTTCTAAGCTTGCAGTTTATTCTGCAACAGTAAATAAATAAGTTACTGGAAATTAAGACTGCCAAAGCTGGATTTTTATTCTGTCTTTATTTGCCTAAAATAAAATTTCTATTCTTTCAAATATATTTTTCTACAAAGTGTCACTTGCAGCCTATAAGGAGACTTTAATTATTCCTACTGCAACTAGGTGGAGGAGCTTGCTTGTTAACTTGGCAACTTCTTTGTAAAAATGCTTACTTAAGTTAGAATTAGACATTGTCACTAGTAAATGAGGCTCTATCTTTGTCTTTTTGCTTCATTTTATTCCTTTTGCTAACCATTTCCAGTTGAATGAATGATTTTCCCATCTGTTTGTCAGTCTTTTCATCTTTAATATCTCAATTTTTTTTAAACAGGTAGTTGAAGATACTAAGGAAAAAAGAACAGTTATTCATCAGGCTGTGAAAAGTCTCTTTCCTGGGCTAGAGACTAAAACTGAAGAAAGGGATGGAAGGAAATTTATTGTAGCTTACCATGTGGCTGGGAAGACTGCGTTGGCAAGTAAGTTTTATACAGTGGATGATCTTCATAGATTTGACACTTTGACAAATTTCCTAAAGTTATGTTTTTTTAATAAAACTACTGAAACACAATGTTGGTGTGCTGGCAAATTCAAAATAATCTTAACTCTAAAATTAAACTTGCATTCTTAAGACAATATTCATGTTCTAATTTGAAACACTGCATTTTTAAATGAGTTAATGCATTTTGAATATATCTCATTTGTTTTAAAAATATGAAATTTTTCAGACTGAATATTCTCATTTAATCTCTATCAAAAGTTATTTTGTGACATTTTAGAAGATAAATTTCTTTATATTAGTTTCAGAATGCATTGTATTACCGATAGTCCAAAATTCTGTGGGTTTTTCATTACAGCTTCTGCATGCACCCTGCATATATTTGTTTTCCTTGCTTATGCATTTTTTTTTTATAAATTAATATCTCTCACAAATTTATGGTATTTTGCACTGCTAGATCTTCACCTGCGGTATACAATTTGTGATGGAGGCTGAACAGTAATTATGTGCATGGTTGTAGATGTTGAATCACCAGCAAACTAAAATGGAAAGTATATAACAAGTTGAACAACACCATTGGTGTTACAGATCTTGGTACTTCTGAAGGCATAGTATTTAGTGGCAAATGAATATTTAAATATTAACTCAAATTATGTTCACTAACGGCAGGTTGATACTGAATTATGTTGGTCTTTTGGTTAATTTTTGAAAATTAATTTGAGTGTGGTATTTACTTTGGTATCACCATTATGAAAGTTTATAATAAAACTGGGGTATGTTCTTGATTAGATGGAGCTGTACATATCTCCTCTGATAATCTTTCAAGTCGAGTGTTACATGTACTCTGGTACATATACTATCTAGCAGTTGGAGTATAATGTGGATAAATGTGAATTTATCTATTTTGGCAGTAAGAATAGAGAAGCAGGAAACATGTAATTTCCTTTCATTTGAAAAGAACAGGACTCAGTTGTAAAAAGGGATTTGAGTATCCTATTTACACACATTTCGCAAAGTGGGTACAACAGGTAGTTAACAAGGTGTAGAGCTGGATGAACACAGCAGGCCCAACAGCGAAGGGTCCAGGCCCGAAATGTCAGCCTTCCTACTCCTATGATGCTGCTTGGCCTGCTGTGTTCATTCAGCTCTACACCTTGTTATCTCAGATTCTCCAGCATCTGCAGTTCCTACTATCTCTGATACAATTTTAACCCCACTGCGAAGCCTCTTCTAAGGATGCCTAGCCTGAAGAAGTTACCCTTCTCCCTCCGGACAATTTCTGATGAAGGGTCGAGGCCCGAAACGTCAGCCTTCCTGCTCCTATGATGCTGCTTGGCCTGCTGTGTTCATCCAGCTCTACACCTTGTTATCTCAGATTCTCCAGCATCTGCAGTTCCTATTATCTCTGATACAACAGGTAGTTATGAAGTCAAATGGAATGTTGCTGATAATTGCAAGGAAATTGAACATGAAGGTAGGGAAGTGCTACTATTGATTGATCTTTTGTTGTCACATGTACCAAGATAAAGGGAAAGGTGTTGTTTTGTGTGCTATACAGGAACGTCATACCATACAGTGTACAGTGTTACAGGTGCAGAGAGAGAGAGATCAGAATTAACATTTGAAAGGTCTGTTAAAAAGTCTGATAACAGCAGGGAAAGAAACTGTTCTTGAATCTGTTCATACTTCTATATTTTCTGCCTGACGGAAGAGAGTGAGAGTCCAACCAGGGTGGGAGTGGTCTTTGATTATGTTGGTTGCTTTCCCAAGGCAGCGGTAAATAAAGATGGAAGGCTGGTTTGCATGAAGCACTGGGCTTTGTTCACAACTCTCTGTAGTGTCTTGCGATCTCAGGAAAAGTAGTTGTCAAACCACACTGTGATACATCCAGATAGAATGCTTTCTCTTGTGCACTTATAAAAATTGGTAAGAGCCCTTGTGTACATGCTGAAATTCCTTGGCCTTCTAAGGAAGTAGAGAGGTTGTTGTGCTTTCTTGACCATCACGTTGATGTGGGTGGACGAGGACAGATTGTTGGTGATCATAACTCCCAGAAACGTGATGCTCTCGACCATCTCTACCTCAGCACCATTGACGCAGACAGGAGCGTGCCGTCCACTCTTTCCTGAAGTCAATGACCAGCTCCTTTGTTTTGCAGATGTTGATGGAGAGATTACTGCTTTTACACCATGCCGCTAAGCACTCAGTCTCTTTCCTGTATTCTGTCTTGTCGCTGTTTGAGCTTCAACCTACAATAGTGGTGTTGTCAGCCAACTTGTAAATGGAGTTGGGGCAGAATTTGGCCAGACAGTCATGAGTGTATCGGGAGTGTAGTAGTGGGATGAGTACGTAGCCCTGTGGGGCACCGGTGTTGAGGATTATGGTGGAGGATCTATTGTCACCTATTCCTATTGATTGCAGTCTATTGGTCAGAAAGTCGAGGATCCAGTTACAGAAGGGGCAGCCATGACATAGCTCTTGGAATTTAGAGATGAGTTTGTTTGGAATAACGGTGGTGAAGATGGAACTGTAATCAATAAGTAGGAGCCTGATATCGGTATTTTTGTTATCAGGGATGTTCCAGGGATGAGTGTAGGGCCAGGGAGATGGTGTCTGCCTTGGATCTGTTGTGTTGATACGTGAATTGCAAAGGATCAAGGCAATTTTGGTAGGCTGGAGTTATTGTGAGCTATGACTAACCTCTGGAACCACTTCATTGAGGTATGCTGCATGATTTTTCTTTGGCATTGGGATGATGGTGGTCTTCATGAAGCAGTTGGGAACCTCAGATCATAGTAAGGAGAGGTTAAAGATGTTTGTGAATGCTCCTACCAGCTGGTCCACTCAGAATCTGAGTGCGTGGCAGAGGACTCCATCCAGGCCAGTCGTTTTCAATGGGTCCACTCTCAAGAAGGCCGGTCTGCAGTGCTGACTGTATGTACAGGTGCGTCTGAGGCTATTGGGATAGGTAACACTTTGACTGACCTTCTGTTCAAAGCAAGCATAGAAAACCTTTGGGGGAAAAAAAGCAAAATGCAAACCTTTAGAGTTCTAAAGTATACGTAGAAAATGTCTTATAGATTTTAGTGATATATGATTTGGGCTTCAATGTTTTGAGTGTAATCAGCAAGTTTGCAGATGATAGAAAATATGACCCCCTGGTTACTAATGAACAAGAAAGCTGTAAACACAGCAAAACAGCAATGAACTGGTCATGTGGGCAGAACAGTGGCAAATAGAGTTAAATCTACAGGAGCTTAAAGTAATGCATTTAGGGAAGGTTAACAAGGCATGGAATATGCATTAAATGGTTGGATACAGAGATATATAGAGGAGCAAAGAAACCCTGATTCCGGGATAACAAGGTGTAGAGCTGGATGAACACAGCAGG